CCAAGGGCGCTTACACGGGCGCCCGGCTGGCCGCCTAGATCACGCTGAAGAGCGGCGTGGGACCATTGTGGAGACCGGCTCCGACGACGGGCACTTCATGGCCCTGAGGGGCCCCGTCACCCTGGGCACATGCGCTTCCAGCTGACCGACCTAGACGGCAACGTCGTCCGGCTTTGCGGGTCGTCTTTGTTGTTCGTGTTATATCTTGACCACGTATAATTAAAAGCCGACAGAACAAGAGGCGCCAGAGGCGCAGGAGTACGCTGCGCCGGACGCTGCGCCGGAGGCACCGCGCGCTGCGCCGGAGGCACCTCACGCTGCACCGGAGGCACCGGAGCCGAAACGACGGGGGAGGCCCCCTGGCAGCAAGAACAAAGCGAAGCAGGACGTGCCTGCTGAGCCGGCTGCCCCAAAGCGCAAGCCAAACCCGCCGGTTGAGACGACACCGGCGGAGGCACCACCAGCGGAGACACTACCGGTTGAGGCACTGACCAAAAAAACAAGAACCGTAGCAGCAACAAGCCTAGAGCAGGCAAACAAAAAAAATCGGGTCGCGCCACACACTGCCCTCAGGACACCCCCCTGTGCCAGGCACAAGCAAACCCACGTGGGTACGTATCGCGGATCCGAACAACCCCTGCCTTTCCGCAATGCCTTACATGGCTGGCTTCGTGCTTCCAGCACTCGCCAGTTCAGCCCTTGGCACGGCCACGCCAGCTGCAAGCACTGGCAGCCGCGGATGCGTGTGCCGAAAACGACTTGGTAGGGATAGGGGGCTGGGCAATCACTTCCTCACAAGTGGTTTGGTTTGCCGAAACCTGGAACATGCTACGGGCAGTATGGCCTTGCCTTGTCAAGCCTGGACAGCGGTACATCGCATGCTTCGAGACACTGGCGCAGTTGGCACTGCTGCAAGCTACCCATATTGGTGGTGGCGCTACTCGTTCAGCATGCCTTCAAGCACTGACAATTGGCAACGGAAGCCTTGACAAAATGTTCACGACCTCCTGACCGTTGCAACTCTTCGTGCAGTTAACAGCCTTCTGGGCTTACGCGCACACGTGCTGCTGCAGCCAATACACGTTCCGGGAAGGAGCAATGATTGGGCAGATGACCTCAGCAGAGGTCGGTTGGCCAGATTCAGCCATCGCCCTAAGAGTCGCGTACGCTTCAGCCCTGCGGGCCTTACACTGGCAGAGGCATTCAGCTGTGTCCGATAGATGCGCCCTGGCGCCCGGAACATCTGGCAGCTGCCTCCAGCAGTGCGTAGCCAAGCCTTGTTGCATCCCAACATGCGTCGCGACCCATAGCCAACCTCGCCCTGGCAACCAGAATACCTGGCTGCGTCAGCCAGCAGCTTGACACCAAGCCGCTTTGACTAAAAAAGAGCGGCCCCTGAGCGACAGGATGCTCACAACCAAGCGCGTGCAATGTCATGCTGACATTTGCCCTGCCAGGTAGAGACCATGAACGGAAGTGCAGAGCGTCTGCGACTTCTCTTTTGTAGAGCCTTGTAGAAGGCAGTGCAGGGTGGGTGGGTGGGTTTCAAATGAAATGGCAAGTTTGGGTTCGGCTAGGAGCAAAATGGCCACTGCGTAGGTAGATTCACAACATGCCCTAAACACAAGGAAAACAATGCAAGTCCGAAGCGGCCGCAGTTCTTTTTACCGGGATTGCTGAAAGTAGCACTGCTTCGCACGGGTGCGCCTGGAGCAAGGTGCATTGACCCCCCCTTCAGTGTTTCAGCCGGTAAAGCGAGCCAGCTGGGCCGCCGGGCTCATCACCCCCCCCTTTAGAGTGGGTTGTGCCCAGGTTTGGGCGTGGGCACGCATGCCACGCCATGCACGCACATGCATTTGCAAGGACACGCATTGTGTTGCCTTAGAGTTTCACGGGGAGTCAACGCACCTCCTGCTCCAGGCGCACCCGTGCCCTGGAAGCAGTGCTACTGTCAGCAATTCCGGTAAAAAGAACTGCGGTCGCTTCGGACTTGCATTGTTCTTTTGGGTGGTCTTGTTTGGGTTCAAGCTAGGAGCAGTGCAACACACCTTAACCGGCCCGCCTGTCAGTGTGCTGCACACGTACAGCGGGTGCTCGCCCAGCGTGCCATAGTGCTTATAGGCAAATGCATGGCCTGATCATCGGCAACCCGACTTCCTCGGAAAGCACGGCTCGTAAGCGTGCCACCATTTTGAAACGCTTTCTTGGTTCCGATCTGGAAGGACAGGCGATCGGGCGTCGATACCTCCAACAAGGCTTCTTCGCCCAGGTGCGCCGCGTGCCCTGGAGGCAGTGCTACTTTCAAGCAACCCGTGAGAAAAGAATGCGCGCCTTTTGGATTTGCGTGGTTCTTTAATGAGAGGGTTGTTTGGGTTCAAGCTAGGAGCAGTGCAACAGGCCTTAACCTTTGCGTTTTGTTTACGACTTTCGTGAGGGTGTGCGAATTTGCTTGGTGCTGCTTGTCTTGCGGCCACGCTGACCATGATGCTATTCGTGGATCTTCCAGTGCTTGCATTGGCTATTCACAGCTTGTGGACTGATGGGAGGAGTTCTCTAGTGGCTTTGTTCTCCGAGCCGTTTGTGACGTGTGCGCCTGATTTCACTCAACCTTAAGATTTAGCTTCCTCCGTATTTCTGGACTTACACTGGTGTTATTGGCGGGTCAACACGACGATCAGGTTTTCGTGCACCCACAGGCCGTATTGGGAACGCTTTCATGAGTGCTGTTTTCGTGACCTTGTTATCCGGGTTCTTCATGTGTGTAGTCTGCACTGGCGCACTGCGGGGTCGCTCCCGATGGCTCGACATTGCCTTGCCCTGCCATATACGGGGACCTAATATTTCCTCTTTGTTGTGTTTCAGCGGGGATGTCTTTGAGTATTTGTTTCCAAGGTTCTGGCGTACTGCGGGGTCTCGGACTTCCTTTATCCTTGTGCACTGGCAGTTTATGAGGTGACGATTTGCCACATGGTGAGGAGATGATCAGGCTTGTGGGGTGGTCGCTCTCGATGCTTATCGGTGCTTACCGTGGAATTTACAATGGTCTGATTGTCTACTCATTGGCCTTTTACACTACATGGCGGAATGCAGCTGGGACGGTTTTGAATTCCGTGAGCGTGTGCAAGTTTGCTTTGCGCTGGTCGTCTCGCGGCCACACTAACCATGATGTTTTCTATGGAACTTCCGGTATTTACTTGACTATTCACTGCTTGGGATTTGCTATGGCGGTATGCTCTTGTGACCTTCCTCGAGCCGTTGGATAGCATGTCTCCATGATCACTGCGAGTGGTGCAACTTTTGCATTTCTTGTTTCCGTATTCAGTACTGCTCTTTGTAGGCTCGCTGGTGCGGTTTCAGAGGTGCCTTTAAGAGCTTGCTTCGACACATTGTGGATTTGGTTTTCCGTGCATAGCTTTGCGCGGAGTTGAATTTTGGGCATTGTTTCACCCGATTTCGGCTTTTTTGTTTGGAGGTGTTTCGGCTCTTCCTTGTCGATGTTGGTCAGTTGAGACTTCTGTTTCCTGGCCTTGTCTCCGTGCTTCGTTTTTTGCTTGGCGCTCTCATTGTTTACTACTTTTCGCCACTGGCCTTCTTGTGTCGGTGATGGGCGGCTTTGTGCCCCCTTGTGTCAAAGAGATCTTTGTGGGTGTTGTGTTTGCTTGCTTTCAGGTTTGCTTTTTGGGTGTGTTGGGTTTATCTTTGACACCTTTTCCGTGTTTCATCTTCTGCGCTACAACAGCGGACTGGCGATATCGCAATGGCCGCGTGGATCAAAACAAAAAAATGGAATAGACATTCTCTGCTTGCTATAGCAACCTCCGATGCAACTCGCTAGTGTGATTTGCTTAGTGTAGCTGTACTTGTGCAATTTGCACACAATTTTCCGCAAGAACCCTTTGCAATTCTTTCAATAAACATCGCGAGACTTCGAAGCAAATCAGTTGCAGTTCCGCACGCGCGTACTCGTGGTGTTCAAACTGTTTTTAAACATTTCAATGTTTTTTCCTGAATTCGATATTTCTAGTTTATGTCCTACCATCAAAGTGAGATTCAGGGGCGCATTGCATCTATTGGCTGTGGGTCATATTGAGGCTTGCATGTCCCACTTGATTTCAGTTGCCACTGGAGCTTATTTTCTTTGACTTCCACAGGGATTATTTCGGAAAGGCGCTTGCGGCTGCAAGAATTTCGCACTGTTCCGCTTAAACGGCGAGCGACAGTATTCAGCTGCTATTGCAACATATCTTGCTTGACAGTATGTTTTCCTTTGTACAAACTTGATGTTCTCTGCTTGGCGCTAGCACTTCCCTTGGCGATACAGTGTAAGGCAGTCTGAAATTCGAGCAGGTTGCCAGTCAAGCTAGTTTTCCCACATGATAGGCTATGCATGAGCAAAATATAGTTTGTACGTAAATTCCAGATAGCGGTATTTTGGTGGTGCATGAGTGAAAAGTGAGGGCAGTCAAGTGATACTAGTGTCAAGATACGATATGTAGACAATCCAAGAATATCCGTTCGACCTATTTTGTGTGCGATCAGTGCCAGGGGGGCATCGCGCCGGACAACAGTTTTGTGATGATCGCATTTTTTGTCGCGTGACCTTGACTCGGCATGTTGTTGGGGGTTCAAGTTGTGAGGACATTGCAATCCCTAAGTACGAAACATGTTGAGCATTGAAGCGTGCTTGAACACAAATCCTTTTGCGCAGGACGCGCCATACTGCTTTTATGTTTGCCGCATTGCTGCATCATGTGGTTGAGTTGAACAAATGTGGTCACGCGCACATCGAGCAGTTGGGAAGTACAGGCATCAATAGCGGAATCATTTACTGTACCAGCAGCACAACAATGTATATACCAATCTGGAGGCTTGTCCTTTCTGGGTTGGAATATGTGCTGAAGAGGGGACTTGTTGTTCTGTTTGGCATGTCAACAATGCCGTCAATGTGAAGAGAATGCGTATCCAATGTGAAGATGCTCCTTGCCTATGCCTTGCCCGTGAGCCGCGGTGGATCAACGTTTCATGGCATTTTGGAAAGTAGGGTGCCATGGCTGGAAGATACATCAACGAGGTGAATGCAAATGGTGCAAACATGCGGATCTGACTGCGGAATGGACTCGCAGGACACGGTGGAATCTGAGCGACCACTCAAAGTATGTGCCGAGGCCTGGATAAACACATTGCATTGAATGTGAGGTGTCGTGTGTCGTGAGATTGCAGGCTGGAAGAAAATGTGTCCGAAACATTCATCAGTATCCAGTGCTATCTGCAGAGCCGAGAGCTTAGAGCTTAGCAACTCGTATGTTGTTTTTTTTTTTTTTGGAGGAGACGCACACACACACACACACACGCCATGTACACATATGTGCTGTCCCCCCCAACAAATAGAACCTACGTGGGCACGAGTTTTCTCCTGGATCTCTGCATTTGCATGCCCTGCCAGACAGGACATTGTTGTTTTCGGGCAGAATTGTCATTATTATTATTATTTTAACGCAGGAGGGGACCTGTGTCGAAATTTGTTGGATTTTCAGTTCGTGAGTTGAGCTTTGCAAGCCAATGCACGAAACAGGCATATGAGTGCAAACTTTTTTCTGGCACCATGCAGCTGTAGTATCAGTGTGAGCATTGCTGCTTCTCGTTGGGAATCTGTTTGTGTTGTCCCTAGTCTAGTAGCTTAGTAACAGTTGAATACTACTTGACAAGGAGTTCTTAGTTTGCCTCAGACTAGCTATAGCGTAAGTTCAGTATTAGTTTGGTGTTGGCTTAGCATTGTTGATTCTCAGGAAGATTTGCTTTGCTAAGCCTAGGTTGTCCGCCTCGTAGAGCCAGTACAGGGAACGCCTGCACCGCGTCTATTTGCTCTTTATACTTCTGGCAGTTTTTATCTTTACGTTTCCTCAGTAAAAGTAAGAATGACTCCCACAGTTTTTTCTCGCTTTCTCACTTTCGAACATGTAAACACAAATCACTATTGGAACCATCAAGCGCAACACGGTAGAACTCCTAAAGGTACAACTTACGACTTGTGTACTTTGATTCCACGTTTTATTATTATCATTATTATCATCATTATTTTATTTTGTTATCAAACTTTTCCCGAGTAAATGTATAGAAAACAAGCATGTACAGCTTCTGGTGCCATGACAAGTAGAAGGTGAAACTGCCTTAAGTAAACAGAAACGACACTGGCTTGCTTCAGGCAGCTTTATGGGGCCATGCGTTGTACACTTGTATTTTCTTACCTTACTCGGGAAACGCACGCAAGTCAAATGTGTCACTTTTCAACCTATGAAGCGTAACAAGTCAAAACTGATGATAAAACATGTTTTGCCTTTCCTTGTTTTACTCTTTTGTCTTTTACTGGGACAAATTCAAAATGTAAAAACTGCAAAAAAAGAGACCCACACTTTTTGAACTTTTTCGCTTCTACTGCGGAAAAGTGAAAAACAAAGCTGCCTGAAGTAAAGCACAGCATGCTTTTGGAAGTTTTGCTTCTTAGCTTTCATGGCTTTATTTGTTTTTTTGTCTTTGTTTGTTTTTTTTGTTTGTACTGTGTCACTTTTCCGCAATAGAAGTAAACCAACAAACAATATGACGTTTCAACCTATGAAATGTATAATGTAAATCTGCTTGAATTATCATCAGTTTTTACTTTCGGGAGCTTTATAATTTACTGGGGAGCAAAAAAACAAAACAACAACCAAATAAAACTGCCTGAAGTAAAACACAGTTTTTCATTTTGGGAGTTTTGCTTGTTACCTTTCATGGGTTCAACAGTGTTGCTTCTTAGCATTTCGTTTTTACTGTCACTATGGATATTTGCAGGGTTTTTGTGCATTTTGTCTAGAAACACACTCGTTATGTGCAGTTGTTTTGCGTATGTTGCGTACGTGCCCACACTAGAAGTTGACACACATTCATTTCATTTTAGGTTTTTGCAAGTTTATGTGTGACTTTGCCATTGTACCGCCATATGATAAACCTAGTTTCTTTTTGTTGGGGGGCTACCCTATATATGTTCCAGGCCGTGGAACCCCCCCCCCCCCAAAGCTCCCCCAAAAAATAGTAAAAGGAGAATTCAATGAATTATTCTTTCTACTATTTTTTCTCCAACAGCAACACAACAAACAGAAAACAAAATCCAGAACAACAAGCAAACAAAATAAATAATCACAACCAGCAACAAAAATATTTAATCACAGCATGCAACATTAAATAATTCAAACAAGCATACCAACAAAACAGCAACACTCTAAATCATCAAAGAACCCAAACTCAAAAACACACATCAACAAAAATCAAAGCAACATACCAACAAAAAATATCACAAGAGTATCAAACAAAACAAAAACAAACAGCCAAAGCACGAAAAAATTGAAGAAGCATGCCAAGTCTAAACAACGCACTTTGAAAGAGATAAGCAAATTAGGAAAATATAATAATTCAATCTTTACAAACGATAAATATATTACAATTATAACATATAATATTTTACATGTGATAATCATAGTATGGTGATAATTTAAGTTTGGGATAATAATTTAATTGATGATGAGTTGAGGCGTTGGCGTGATGGGACCAATCCCACAAACTTGGGACCCGAATCCCCGAAAGTTGGGACTCCAATCCCACAAACTTGGGACTCGAATCCCCGAAAGTTGGGACTCCAATCCCACAAACTTGGGACTCGAATCCCCGAAAGTTGGGACTCCAATCCCACAAACTTGGGACCCGAATCCCCGAATCCCACGAATTTGGGACTCGAATCCCCAATCCCACGCATTTGGGACTCGAATTTCCTATTTTTGGGACTGGTGTCTTGTTTCTTTAATCCGTCAAACTCACTAAGATTTCACAAATTAATTCGCTAGGTATTTTGTATAAATCTTCCTGTTTATGTATTGTTGGATTGTCTCCCCAATTTTCCTTAGTGCCCGATGGAAGCCGTTGTGCAGTTTCAATATGTTTATTATTCCTGATGTTGCCACAATCCTTTTTACATAAATGTCTAGGTTTCCAAGTTGTAATGTTATTCCAAAGCCTAGTGCGTTTTCTGTAATTAAATCCATACTTACAGTAATCTACATCTTTAAAATCAAACTCATCCATAAACTCCTGATGTTTTAATAATCCAGTTTGTGGATTTTCGATTACAAAATATTTAGGATTGAAATATTTGATAATCTCAATAGTTTTTAAGACAATACTATTTGCATATTCGATATTCCTAATTCCCCTAGTTTTTGCTATGCTGTATTCAGTGCATGGGGGACTACTCCAAATAAAATCAAAATGGTTTCTGTCAAACTGTTTGTAATCCCACTCCAAAATATCAGTGTTGATATCAGCATTTTTCAAGTCTAATGATATCACATTAAATCCAAGCGACTTTGCTATGGTTCCAACGCTTTTTGTTCCGCTAAATAATTCTAATAAATTCATTTATTAGAATTATTTAGATATTAATTATTCAAATAATACATATACTCCATCATCATTTTTTGAAATTTTGTAAAATTCTAAAGTGGTGCTTTTAGGTTGTTTGATTTTTCCTGTATTCAACATATCACAGTATTTCTTTTGCTTTGTAGGATAATCACCCGTTGGTCTTCCTATAGATTTTGCTTGAAATATCTTTTCGATTTTTTCTTTATCTTCATTGCGTTCAACTGGTTTCATTTTGTCATCAATCGATTTAATCATATCATTTAAGGTTTTGATATTTTTACCAATTAATGTTATCTTCTTCATTAAATCATTAATAGTATAATTCTCATTTTCAGACATTACTATATATTTATTTAGATAATTATTTATTTAATTATACAATTTACCTGAATAATTTAATGTTATATATGTAAATAAATTATATTCTAAGAGTCTTTCACCAATTTTATTTTTCAATTTTATTAAACCTTCATCGTTACCTGTAATTTCAAAAAACTTCAACATTTTATCAAATTTATCCGGTTTAGTTATACCTTTCATAAAATATTTATTATTGAATTTAGCATCTAACCAATAAAAATATTCTATACTCAATTGTCTAGCAAAGTTTTTATCACCATCGAATATATCATTAATTTCTTCATCATCAAAAGTTATAATTCTATGGTCTTGTCCATTCATAGTTGGCATTATGATTATATAAATAATTAGATATTTATTTAAATATTTATTTATTTATATTTATAAAGTGCAATTATGTTAAATCTACTCTTTAAATACTAATTTTTCATGATTTGTTTAACAGTTTCCTGAGTTTCGTTTTCATTATTATCGGTTGGTGTTGCTTGCCTACCAAATTTAAAAGTTATACTATGGACATCAGTTTCTAAGTTGATACTGTCTTTAGTTTTATCAATATTCATTTTCTTATCATTTTTACTTATTTTGAAACTTGTTGGAATACATGAACATTTACAACTTTTATTATTTTTTATTTCTAATTCATTTTTAAGTTCTAACATCTTTTTGCACATAGGACAAACAACCTCAATAACTGATGTTTCTTTAACAATTTCTTCATCAGTTGATGAAACACTTAAACCTGTCTTATTCTTTTTGTTTTTCTTTTTTGGCATTTATATTAATATTTATATTTTTAATATATTGTATCAAAAACTTAATTAATTCTACAATAAAATAACATATTTTTTTATATCTATTATCAGTTATTAGTACTTGTTCTATATTCTCCATTTCATCTATTATATTAATATAATGTGTATAACTCCTTTTCATATTAAATAATAAGATAAATTATTTTTCATTTCTGCCTTTCTCTTCTTGTAAAGTTTTTTCATTGTATCGTCTTTATTCCATCTATATTCTACAAATTTCTGATGATGTTTTGAATTTAGATGTTTAAATAAATATTTGTCATCATAAGTTTTACCACAATTGCAATGGATAATAGTCATATAAATAATAAGATAAAATAGTTATTTAATCTTATTATTTTCATGCATAATAGAATATTGGTGGGGCACAGCACTTGGGGTTTTCATTGCACACGCGAGAGAGATACAAACTAATTAGCTTCAATGCTTATTGATTGTAGCAATGGAAAACCTGTTCCATTTTATGATATTCGCCACCAATCATATCATAAAACGATGTTCCCTTAATATTAAATAGAATATGTATTTAAACTATTTTCTTTAGTAAGTTTTATTGCAGTTGATAGACTAACATCTTAAATATTAATATCAATAACTTCTTCTACACTATTTATCATTTCATTTGTATACATATCGGGATAATCTTT